GTCTGTAGTTCTCTAAAAGAGTTGGGTTAAGAGTGGGTTTCTTAAGAAGTGGGGTTATACGAGCCTGTTTAAATGCTGAGGGCAAAACACCAGTGTGAAGGGATGTGTTAATGATGTGAGTGAGTGCAGGTACAACGATGTTGTTGTAGGCAGGGTGTACTGTTCATGTGTATGTAGGAGGTGGCACCTGTTTCTCACATATGTGGCATCTCCGGCCTGTACCTGGTAGCTATTTGGCTGTGGTGCTCTTCCTACTACCGTTCCCAATCTATCATACCCCCTGTCCGTCTGTATTCTCACTGTCGGGAGTACGAGTCGACGAGCACCAGGTGTGTCCCCCCCCCCCACTCAAAAACGTCAGCTGCTGTAAGAGCCCATGGCAAGTCTGGTATATCATGCAATTGAAGGGGCTCCTTTGTTTGGAGTGGTCTGAGGGCATTACAAGGAGCGCACCTGGAGATTTCATGTTCAATGTCCTGGTATATGCTGGGCCAAAACATGGTTTCTCTGGCCCTGCACTTTGTTGCTTCTAGGCCCTGGTGCCCTTGATGCAACTGTCTGATATAATAGTGTTGCAGTGAGTGGGGAATGACAAAACGCTGACCACGGAGCAGTAGGCCATTATCAACTGTGAGTTCATCCCTTATGGCATAGAATTGCCTGTGGTCATGTGGCAGCTTCTTTGATGGGTCAGGCCAGCCCACGGCAACAACCTCAGATAAGCGCCTGCATAGATAGTCTGCCTGTGTCTCCTTTCTCAGTTCCTCAATTCTCCTTGAGGAGAGGGCTTCCACTTTCATGACATCATAGTCCTCAGTAGTTTCGGCCCAGTCAGTGGAGGGCAGGTGTGCACATAAGAGCGCGTGTGCTAGGCATAGCTCTTTGACCTGGTCAGTTTGAAGGTGACCCACATATGACACCTCAGACACCCGGAAACGGCACTTGTCAGGGTTGAGCTTAAGATTTACAGCGCATATTTTGTCCATGACCTGCCGGAGGTGCAGATCATGCTTTTCTCTTGTGCTGCTCCAAACGAGGATGTCGTCAACAACAATTGCGCATGACTGTCCTTCAAAGAGCTGCTCCATACACCTTTGGAAGACTTCACTTCTCGTGGAAATTCCATAAGGCATTCGGAGGAAGGCATATCAGCCCGCCGGGGTCATGAAGGTGGTCAGCTTTGATGACTCCTCACTGAGTGGCACCTGCCAGAATCCACACTTCACATCAAGGATACTGAACACCTTGGCTA